GAGCGCCGTAGAGATATCCAGACCCATCCTTCGAATTAGTAATAGCATGAAAAGATAGAATCACATTCGAAACTTCACGTAATCGCGCGATAAATCGTTCTCAAGGATTCGAGCGTACTTTTCAATGTTATCATTCTAACATCTCCACGCTTCCTTCCGCGCATTAAGCGCCATTGAACATTTAATTTTAACTAGCTATCAATCTTTGCTAATAGATTCTGCGTAAAAAAAAAGAAAGATGATTAGTTCGACGAACTTGGAGTAATGATACTTTTTCTACTTTTTCATTCGTTTAACGCGATAGTTTTTATTATGTAAAGTGACTCTAAATTTATCAGCATTCTTTCCACAATTTAAAAATCTGAATGCTATGTGCGAATGCGCGGCGCGCGTACGTGCGTAAATTTGTGTAGATTCCATGCAGGTCGGTCGGCGTGATATCGTGATATTGCTTCAAAATAGCCGATTCACCATGCCATGAATATTTACAAACTACGGCATACAGGTCGAAGTACAAATATTATTTGTCTCGTTTTCCACTGTCTCGTTTAACCGAGTCGTTCGAAGCGAACGCGATCGCGCGCTCGAGTGCATGATAGCGAGCATTGCACTATTTCTCGAGAATACAGTCGTACAGGACGCTAATTGTCTTCGAATGGCTCGCGTAATTACGCTCTCGTACTAACTTTAGTCATCGTGCCGAAAAGATCTTATTGTTAGTGTTCATCCGAGCGTCGTGGAAAGGTATACAAATGTGATTTGCGTAACCGTCCGACTGTGTAATTATTACGCGATTAGTCATATTTGATATACAACCTGCCCCAAAAGTTCGCGCTTTCTTCAGAAGCAAAAAATAATGAAAATAAAATAAGCTATTTAATATCAGAATGTGAAGTCTTTGGCTGAGCAGAAGTTAAAGAATTTTGTGAATCAATTCTTTGGCAAGAAAATATGACCGCGTTTCTGAAATTACGTTTTTACAATTTTTTTCCTTTTAAAGATGTTTTAATCTTATTTTTAAGACGTTCTATTGCTCCGTCGCACGTATATTCCAAGAAAAACATGCACTCGAAGGTCGTAAAATTTATTGCATCTACATCGAAGCACTGCGGTCACATGGCTATACTGCGCACCATCTGAGTCGTAGAGATGTATGGAATGTAGAGATGTTTAAAATAGCGATAAATCACGCTAAGTGAAAACCGTACTTAGCGCAACATCGCTGGCTGTCATCTGCTGTGTTCCATATTATCCATCACAATCATCGTTCCGAGCAAATCCGAGCAGACACTCGCGATGGTTCAAATTCCAAAAGAATCGTATCCGATATCCATGTGCGCAACTATGGATAATGGTTTAAAAAGAGCTGCATGCGATGCACTTGTCGACTGAAATACCGATTGGAAATTCCGCGGATATATTCAGTTGCTCGATTTACGACCTCGATTTTTGCAACGCGTGAACCTGTTGTCGACCTTTTTCCGCGGAAAAACACATGCGGAAATCGCAGTATCACGTATAGCGTATCTTCCGAGAGCGTTTGGCAAACGAATAAGAAGCGCTCAAGAATAAAGAAAATCAGAATCTGATTAATTCACTATTTTTCAGTCAGCATAAAGTTCCTCGCTAAAGTACCGAAAATACATCGTTTTTGCATGTAGTTGTGAAAAATCACACGTTTTGATAAATGATTGCATAGCGACTGATTTTAAGTTATTGAATATACCGGTAAACTATCATAGTTTTGAAGTTTAACTATATGCTAAAAATATAAAGTTAATCGCGGCAAGTTACACGTTGTATCCGTCGAACTCGAACGTTTCTACTGCAAAAACATCGTACGCGCCGACGGCGAGGATATCACGTTGATATAATCGGACCCGCGTCCCAACAGCGACCCACGTCGCAAAACTTCGGGCGACGGCACGTTACTGGAAACTAGGCCCCTATCACTTCGCACGGCGACAACATGTTTCTCTTCTTCCTCTTTTCTTCGTCTCCTGCGCCGAGACACCTACATCTAGGTATCTCACGCGTACGTTGCACGACATACCCGCACACACGCTTACACACGCATCCTTGTACTAGTGTGACGTATGTACGGCGTAAGTCTGATAACACGAGAATACGATTACAACTCGTTTGTCGATGGCGTAGTCGCGATTATTTGTTTTCTTTCTCTTGATCATCCGCGTCGAAGGATGCATGGAGTATATTTAATGTGGCAGTTAAAAAAACTAATGAGCAATTACTATCGACGAATTATTATTAATAAATCGTTAAAACTTATTTATAATAATCAACAGATTTGATAATATAAAAGAATGCGAACGTGCGAAATAATCTATGAGAGACTTGCGCTGTTTGAGAATGACGGTGCAATCCATAAATTTCACTATGAGGACATTGCCACAGGAAGGAAAAATAACGAAGCATTTCTTACTAGTTTGACTGCCATTGTATGGAAATATGGGAAATTCGTACCACTCTGGTTGCATCATTAACAAAACTTTCAACATTAAATTTAACATACATCAATATAGTGAAAACGAAAATGATATGTATTACTTACACATATATTAAATAACAAACCATCATTCATAACAGAACATTTTCATACATTATTTCACATGTGTCTGCTTGTAAACATGCAAATTTAACTACGAAAAGAAATTGTTTCGTTATATGTTATTGAAATAAAGTGGTACTTCGTTCGTTAATAAATATGTTAAATTAAAAACTACACAATAATAATATTATAAATTTGCATGACAATAAAGATTCGTTAGTGTGTAGAAAAACGAAATAATAAATTATACTATCATATAATAAAATTTTCATGAATATCTCAGCTCTAATTTGTGTTATGTATTTGCAAAAAAATTAATGTGACATATTTTTCTAATTCCATTATATACATAATGGATGCTTGTGCATATCGGTTTGATACCAGCTTCTTTTATCGCGTTTATACTCACGTCACGAACAAAGGTGCTTTGAAAATAATACGAGGCTCAAAGGTGCGATATGGAATGATTCAGCGTTTATAGATTAGTGTCAATTGCATGTGCGATAGAAGGCTCATATAGTATACATAGAATTAAATCAACTGTGGCAAAAGAACATTTGCATTATTGATCTGCAATAATTAGAAATAAAAGAAATAATAATATAATAGGTTACAATATGCAGATATTTCTCGAAAAAATTAATGCGTTTTCAAATAACATCGATTAATATTCATATAATATACGCACATACTTGTAAGATAAAAAAAAAGCAAACAATAAGATTGATGCTATCTTATTTATCGAAGATGGAAAAAACAGATTCCTTTATGGCTTATTTGTTTGTGACCTTGTGGAGGAATTTGTAAATTCGTTTTTGGGGAACACAATATGAAAAGACTAGTAAAGTGTACAATTATCTCCCGTCATCATAAATACATCTCTTAACAAAGTGGAAAGTTTTTCTGTTTTGTCTCACTTTTCTCATCCCTAAAGTACCACAGTGCCATATGATTCGCTTTAGTTATAGGGTGACTAAAAATTCGATACTCAAACTTAGGGGTAATAGAAGAGATCGAAACAAATGTTTTTTGTTAAACAATTATGGGTCTGAAACTGGAGCGACTAGTCAATCTGCTTAGATAATTGATAAGATATTTCAGACTCATAGTAGTTTAACATAAAATGTTTGTTTCGATCTCTGCTGCTGTCAAGTTCATAATAAATTAGTGCAAAATGTAATATTGTTTAATTCTCAATCACACCTAATAATCTTCAACAATCTCTTATGAATTATCTGAATAGGTTGACACGTCGCTCCAGTTTTAGATGGCTGTTCAACAAAAAACATTTTTTTGGTCCCTTCTATTATCCTCAGAAATTTAGGGCATCCTGTACGTGCTCTTTATAATACCGAATGCCAGATGCCAATAACCAGATGCTATTCTTCACTATACTTCACGTTTTCAAAGTATGTATATATAACGCAAAGATTTCTATGAAAATAAAACTTTCTAAACGATAAAGTTGATAGTATAAAATAAAAGCTTTGGATATTATTAAATTTTTTGAAAAATTGTAAATAACTAGATATCAACAATTTTGCTGAAAAATATTTTTAAAAATTTTACGTACGCTGCATACGTTAAAAAATGGTTAAATTTTGTCTTAAGATAAAAAAAACATATTTTAATCAATAATTTAATTGTACGTAAAAAATCATACTATTTTTCGTTAAATAAATAAAAATATAATAATATTATTTGTTTTTTTAATTTCTCTTTTTTCTACGCCGCTATTATAAATCAATACATGTTTCGAATAAAAATGCTCAATTGTTTTGAAACCATAATAATCTGTATAATATTTTCTCAACTCCATTCTAGTTGCCCAATATGTATATAAAAATCAATTGCTAAGCATTTTTTATTTCCAACTAATACGTGAGACATTTTTATTTTTAGATTCATCATAATAAAAACTCGTTTATCATTTACTGAAATTTCGATAAATCTCATGACGTAATAATTCAAACATCTTGAAATATTCTTATTGCAAGCAAAAGTTTGGATATATCCGTAATCTACAATTGTCGATAATAATGTTATTAAATAAAAAAATTAAAGATTACAGAAAGTAATCTTGCATAAGTATTATTTACAATTATGGTTTGAGTAATTGGCTATTTGGTTTTAAACTAAGAAATTAAGTTTTTAGGACGTATCGTAGTCTGAATAGATCACGAAAAAATTCTAAAAGTTCATTACCATTTACTTGGAACCAGATTGTATACATCAAAGGCACGTCGTCTACACGTTGCCATAATATTGATAAACAACAGAACAGAACAGAACCGACTGTGCATTTGTTCCATAGCTGAGGCAGCTTGAGGATTGGCTCGAAGCTGCACGCACATGCGCGCACCAGTCTATTCGTGATTAATTCATAAAGAAGCCGCAGCAGCGCTCGCGAAGCTGAGATATGTTTTAGCAGCTCACGTAGCGCCACATTCTGTTCAGGTCTCAAGTGTTGAGCTGCGTTCTTTCGTCTTTCGACGCAATTGTTGATTACTCGAATCGCACTCAAGATTCACAAGAATAACGCGGAAAGTATTTCGACTAGTGCTAGCGCAGAGATAAGGTACGTAATTGTGTGGGAAAAGAGATGTGTTTCGTGGCATCGACAACACGTTAGCCATGTTAGCCCAGGCCACATCGTCGTTTCGTTTTATTGTCGACTATTCACCACGTGGTACGATAATTACCATGATAAGATCGCGTTATCGCCGTATCTGCGGGATATCAATTGCCGACAATTATGTTCATGCTTTTCCTAATTAAAGATAGTGATGTAGTCCAAAATACGAGATGCTATATATAGTTGCAAAATAACGTGAATATTTACAAAGACGTCTTTCTCGTCTTTCGAGTCCGCGAAATTTTATCTGATAACACAAACGCATGTTTATTATTTAATATATTAATAGCTGTTCGTTCTGTAATTTTTAATAATAATATCGTATCATTGCGCAACTATTATGTGTATATTACATCTGCCATGGGACAATTACAGAATAATGAATCATTCCGATCGATCCTATTTTTCTTCAATTTTCTTCAATATCATAAACTCATTGTGAGATACTTCAAATTTTCTACTATATCATAAACAGTAATATCTGATATAGTAGAAAATTTGAAGTATCTCACAATCGAAGTAAAGGTAAAGAGAAGCGACAAATAGGAAAATCGATCGGAATCTTAACCAGCATGTAGCTATAAATTTTAGTGCAATTTTTTTAAATATTGGTGAATGTAAAAAATAAAAATAGTGATTTCGATAAGCGATAGAAAATAGCGCTAGTTAATTTATGTGAAAAGTATATATATGTTGTGTGTGTATGAATAGTGAAAACAAAAACGGTAAATGTTGCGACATTATATTGCCATGAACGGAACCTTATCTGCTAGCAGAGCTAAACAAACGATACATCGTTCTTTATTTTCATTTCTTCGACGCATAGTTCTAAGCAAAAACTGATGCGCGCGAGTGGATAGTACGATATTGTGAAGCATTTTGCTTTTATAAATTAATTTTTTTCATCGTTACGTTGGAATAATTTAATTATATACGCGTAATGAATAAAATATTAACGAAATAATATATCAAATTTATGAAATCACGAAACATATTTGAAAATTGAAATATACATTGAAATTGATTTATTTATTAAAACTGATTTATTAACAATTATTGTAGTATTATTTATATTCATATTATTCTAGGTCAGATTTTATTTTTGAGAACATACAACATATTTATTAATTTAATTAATATTATATGGAACAAATTATTTATTTATAAAATTGTATTCATTACATGTATATGTTTCAATATTTTAATATTTGAAATTTATGTACGTTATGAGTGCATTTTACTGCTGTATATAAGCATGATTATTATTACAGGCAAAGATGGCAATGGTGGAAGAGTGGGGAAACGATGATGTGGATTTTTCGCAGTCATTGAATACATCTATGGTAAATTATTTAAATTGCAATTATATACATAATCCAAATATAATATGTATCGTAAGATAAATATATAATAGCAGTAAGTAAGCCAATATTCACTGATATTATTTTTACAAACAGTTTGAGGAAGGTCATGCTCCAAGTCGCGGCAAAGGACGTGGCACGATTCTATACGACAATGACTCAATTCGACATGTGGGAGGAAACCAATCCTACAATGAAAAAACGGACGACCACCAGGAAAATTATGACGATAATACTCAGAATGAAGATTACGAGAATAATAGATATAATGGTAATAACGGCAATAGATTTGGAGGAAACAGTAGGCGACAAGGCAATGATAAGCCACGTTACGGAAATAACAGAGGTGACGATGATGGAAATGATCGCAAGTGGCAAGGCAACAGAGATAGAAACGATAGTAGACGAAACAGGAACGACAACGGCGAAACTGAGGACAATGGGTACGGCGGAAATTACCAGAACGATAAAAGGGACAGGCCAAGGAGAGATAGAGATGATAATAGAGGTGAAAGAGGTGAAAGAGGTGGAAGAGGTGGTTATGGTAGAAACAGGGGTAACGGCGATAGCGGTGGTTACAATGAAAACGACAATGAAGACAGAGGAGGACGCAGAAGGAACGGCGGTAATTTTAAAGAAGACAACGACGAAGGTGAACCAAAAAAAAGAGAGATTTACATTCCGCCGGAGCAACCTGATGACGAAAATTCCCTGTTTGGAAATGACGTGTCGATGGGAATAAACTTTGATAGATATGATGACATTGAGGTAAAAGTAACTGGTGAGAATGCACCACACCCAATACGTGTTTTTGATGAAGCCGGTTTGAGAAGTATCCTGGTGGAAAATATTAAGAAATCGGGCTATAAAAAGCCTACTCCTGTCCAGAAATACGCCATTCCAATTATAATGAACGGTCGTGATTTAATGGCTTGCGCACAAACAGGTTCTGGTAAAACTGCAGCATTCGTAGTTCCTATTATACACACTCTATTGGAAAATCCTACAGATTTAATTAAAACGTCTACTTCCTGCGAACCACAAGTAATTATTGTATCGCCTACACGTGAGCTTACCCGACAGATTTATGAACAAGCTAAGAAATTTAGTTTAGGCTCAATCTTGCGTGTTGAAATGGCTTACGGAGGAACATCATGTAATCATCAAACAAATAAGATTCTTCAAGGTTGCCATATTCTAGTCGCCACTCCAGGCAGATTGTTGGATTTTATTGGAAGAGATAAGGTCAAACTCTCTTCTTTGCGATTCTTTGTATTGGATGAGGCAGATCGAATGCTAGATATGGGCTTTCTACCTGATATCGAAAAGATTGTGGACCATGAAACAATGGCACCTGTAGAAAATAGACAGACACTTATGTTCTCTGCCACTTTCCCGTGTGAAATACAAGAATTGGCAAGTCGATTTTTGCGCAACTACTTATTCCTCGCAGTTGGAATTGTGGGTGGTGCGTGCGCTGATGTAGAACAGAACTTCTATCAAGCATCTGGCCAGTCTGAGAAACGAAAATTGTTGAAAGAACTGATGGAGAAACAAAATCAGATGGGAAGTCTCGAAGGTACTTTAGTATTTGTCGAGCAGAAGAGACATACAGACTTTATTGCTGCTTTCTTGTCCGAAAGTAACTTTCCGACGACTAGTATACACGGCGACAGATTGCAGAGAGAACGAGAAGAAGCTTTGGCCGATTTTAAACGGGGCAAAATGTCAATCTTGGTAGCTACGGCAGTTGCCGCGCGAGGCTTGGATATTAAAAATGTTGCTCACGTAATTAATTTCGATATGCCAAAAACGATCGATGAATATGTTCATAGAATTGGACGAACAGGCCGAGTAGGAAATCGTGGAAAAGCAACTTCATTCTTTGATTTAAATACGGACATGCCTCTTACTGGCGATTTAGTTAAAATTTTGAAGCAAGCTAATCAACCAGTACCTGATTGGCTGGGATCTGGAGGCGGTAGCAGAACTTTCGCACCAGGAAGATTCAACAAGTTCGGCGGAGAAGATATCAGAGGAGTAAGTAGTCTTATTTAGATTTATAATTGAATGTCAATAATTAGCTTTTATCATGCTGCTAGTAAATTTTGAGAATTTTTTATTATAAATTATAAAGAATTCTTGAATTAAATCAAAATTTTTAGTAAATACATACTGCGACAAAATACGAATAATATTTATTATTTTTCTGTGCAGAGTAATAACGCATATGGTGAAACATATGATGTCATTGGTTCTGCGCCTCCTGTACAAGAAGAACCAGAGGAAATGTGGTAGATAGAGAGTAATGTCTCATTTTAAATGATCCCCAAGTAACAAGCAGTCATTATCTTAACGTTATTTTGTCGTTATAATAACCGACCATGTCGTCATAATTACTAATTAGGACAACAAAAAGACATCAAATAGCTTGCTATTTACATGGTTACGTTTTTGTTTAATTTCTATTCTGTAGAACATTGATAATATTTGTTTTAATTTCTTTTTGCTTTAGTCGTTTACCAAATATTAATTCATTCAAATATTTCATAGCATAGGATTTTAGTTATTATTTCTTAAAGATAGAAAGAATGTATAATGCATTTAAATTCATATCACTACCTCAAAGTTAGAGAGAATTGATATCATTTAAGTTTATAACTTGTACGAACAGTGCCAATATAAGTACGAATAGTGCTTTATATAAGGCACAGATTAAGTTTATATGTCAACCTTAATGTTTAGTAACATTAAATGTGATTGGCCAGTTTCATAATTACAGATGTTATTAAACCCGATTAAGGGCTAACATAGTCACATATAATTAGTGTTTAAATTGATATAATGTCCCATTATTTTTCAAACATTTTTATACTCTTGTGTATACTCAGTATATACTTGAGTTAATAATGTTAATTTTTAAATAAAATTATAATTTGATTTTTTTTTTTTTTTTTTTTTTTGTTTATAGGTGACTGATACATTGTTATAGTTCATAGATAAACTAGTAAAGTCGTACAACAATAGAATAGGTCTTACTAAACTTACATCTTTTACATGGATGAATTATCTATGAATTGGTGATAATTAAACAATTTTTCATATTTCATAATTAATTTCAAACAATGTAATTATATTTAGTTACTTTATGGTATATTTTTATATGTTTAAATAAAAAAATTTGACAAAGTTTTATACTTTTATAATAAGTTATTTTTTATTTTTGAAACATTTTTAAAAATAAATTCTATTTATATTTCCTTTGTAATAGGTTTTAGTAGTTATTAATTTATAAATTGTTATTATCAATTGGATATTTTAATATATATAAAAAGGATTTAATATATATAGAAAGGAATATATAAAATGGATTTTATCCAAAGTCATGTTATTAGAAACAATAAATTGCTTCAAACTTGAGTTTAATTTAATTTACTAATTTTGATTAAAAATTTAAATTAATTATTTTTATGTTTATGAATATGAATGTTTATATTATAAATTATGTTTTATATCTAATCAATTTTCAAAACTATGCTATTATTGTTAGTGATTTGTTTAAAGATTTCTTTATGTTCTTTGTGAGGCTTTATATTTTTCAATTTTGGTTAAATCATATTAATAAACAGGGTTATTGCGAAAAAATGAAATATACAATTAATTTATGAATAATAGTACTTACCGTCGTTCACGGCCATGTCCATCAGATGCAAATCCTCGTCATTGAGTAAGGACGAAAGAAATCCGTCCGTGGTTTGGTTGATAGAATCTGTTGCTGGTGTGTGATAATACATCATATCAGTGGGTTCAGATTTGTAAGTCGCACCACTTTCTGCTCCCATTGGCTCGCTACTGTTTGTTAAATTCATCGAT